ATAAGACTTGTTTACCTGTGAGATTTGGGTACACTGACATTACAGATAAATCTATGGGTATTTCTATTTCAGAATTACTTATTTTTAAGTAAACACGTGAAACCTGTAAAGGGTCCGAACGACAAGAAATTTAAAAAAAAGCGCCGAAACCTTCTAAAATAATGAGTTGTGCGTGTGAACATATAAGAAATCAATAATAAAAGATTTCATTAAAAAAACCTGCTTCTAAACGCGTTTGTACGCGTTTTTATTTTATTTTAGACGTTTTGGATCATTTATAGGTTCCCGTGTTCTGTGTGAACACAGAAACGAGAAATGCACGTGAAAATATAAGAAATCAGTAAAGATTTTATTGTTTGGTTGCATCGAATAAGCTCCGGAACTATTGGATCTATTTAGAAAATTCTTTCACTTATGGGAGTTACACCATATGCGGATGACATAGAGAATAATTTACGCCGGCGAAGAAGAGCTCGTCGCTTATAAATTGTGCCTAGTCCTCGCTTTAGTTGTCTGTTATCATCATTATCAGCCCATTACATCCCCACTGCAGGGGCTCAGGCCTTTCTTATCGATAAACAAGGAGTATAGGCTATAACCCTCCACGCTGGCCCAATGCGTAATAAAGGATATTTACTATTGCAAATCGGCTTAAAATGCCTTCCGAAGTACTGAGTTCGAGATAGTAATTTTTTGGTCACCCATTCCGTGACCAACCTTTGCGAAAGTTACTTAGTTATTATTAAATAAAAAATATATGAGTGCCACTATGCCACCAAGCTACTTAGGTGTCTGTTATATCTAACTATCTATTCGAAACTAGTTATTATTGACCTTAACGTCCTTCCGTCTTAGAACATTAATGGAAATGATCATTATTTTGTTAGCAATATTCCTCTTGTTCAATGATAATTGATATTTCTTAATTAATATAGCTATTATGAGTATTCCATTTCAACAAACAATACAATAACATAATATTTATGATTTTTTCTAATTCTTACAAAAAATAAATAACATTTTATGACATATCACAATATCAACAGAAATGTTTATTATGTTATTATGAGTGTAAAAAATACTCCTGTTGTTCAAACGATAATTGATATTGCCTAAATATTATAGCTAATTATGAGTATTCTATTTCTACAAACAATAGCAATAGTAATATAAAATACCATGTGTGTACCAGGTGTATTTTCCTTCTAAACATTAACCAAAAACAAGTAATTATTTTCGATGATTCATCTTAAACGCAAGCTCATATTGTTATATGACACTTATTTCAATAATAAATTAATACAAATAAATAAATCTTGACTGTGAGATTTACCCTTGCCGAAAGTCACAAGTTTGCCAAAGCAGATGGAAAACAACGCTTACTGACGAAATCGGCTAGATTAACTTAGTAATTGTCTTTTACTTGAGAAAGTTGAGATACAAAATGACGTACGATCAAGAGGCGCCATGCGATATATCGTATATATTTATATATTTTAGGGTCGGTGCATATCTAACGATAAATACATCGCGTAAGGTCAGAACTAACAAATATAAGCAACTAGCTTTCCAGCGGTTTTTTGTCTGTCTTCTCTGTTTGTTCCGGGTAATCTCTCAAACGGCTGTACCGATTTTGAGGGGACTTTCACTGGCAGATAACTTATGTGATAAGAATTAACTTAAGCTACTTTCCACGTGGACGAAGTCGCGGGCACAGCTAGTATTACCTATATCTCTAGTCTTTTTGATGAACAGTATTTATTTATTTATTTATTATTTAATTAGGTACGTCAACATCATACATATTTAACCTTTATAATACAATATTTAAACAATTACAATTTCTGATACATATGACAATTACAGACATACACAACATTCATTTATTTATATTATTGCACATTCAAATCCTAAACACTAAATCAATAGTAATAAATTAAATCAATAGAACCAAAATTAATTCAATTAATCAAGTCAAATTAAATTTAAAAAAAAAACAAATAATTTAATCAAAACAAAACAGCTTAAATTTATATTTATATAATGTAATGCAAATGTCAACACACTATCACACGTCAATATCCCAACATCCATTTGGTCAGTTCCCTCCTAAACTTCACCAACGGGTCGGCAAAGATATCGACATCACCGTGGCACATACTAAATTGGTTATAATTTTTGCATATTCTATAGATTGGAGAATTTGATCCTGTGTTAGTTTTGCAAGAAGGTACGTGGAATATTTTTGCGATAGATTGTCTGGGGTAATTATAAGGAACCGATAAACCAATTTGATTTAAAATGTCTACAGAATCAATCTGACCATTGATAACTTTATGTAGGAAAATTAGGTCGTGATTTACCCGACGTTCTCGTAATGTCTGTATATTAAAAAAAGACAACCTTCTCTCATAAGGACATCTATACGATATACCGGGAGAGCAAAAAGCGAGATACCGCGTAAATGCGCGTTGGACCGATTCCAATCTTTGTGAGCTTATACTATAGAATGGGCTCCATACTGTGCTCGCAAACTCGAGATTACTACGAACTAAGGAATTATAAAGCAGGAGTTTGGTTTCAATTTTCTGGAAGTCCTTCGAGTTACGCCTTATAAAACCCAGCATCTGTGAGGCTTTTCTTGTGACTAAGTCTATATGCGCATTGAATTTTAGTTCGTTATCTATCAATACCCCCAAGTCGCGCATTTTATCGACCTCCTGTAGCTGAATGCCATCCAGTTCGTAAGTATAATCCAACGGGACTTTTTTCTTTGTGAATTTTATATGGAAGCATTTATTGACGTTTAGTGACATGTCGTTAAAAGTACACCACCGCGATATAGCATCAAGATCTCTTTGAAGTAATTCACAATTTGAGGGTGTAGCTTTTATGTACAATTTTAGGTCATCGGCAAAAAGAAGGAATTTAGAATGCTTTATTACATTTTCTATGTCATTGATAAAAATCAAGAACAAGACTGGTCCAAGGTGAGAGCCCTGTGGCACTCCCGATACAGCATAATATGTATGAGACTTGTACCCACAGGTGACAACTATTTGAGACCTGTTTGCCAGATAGGATTTAAGCCAATCCAAGAGCGACCCACAAATTCCGTTTGATTCCAGCTTACGTAGAAGCAATGAATGGCTAACCCTATCAAATGCGCTTTTAAAATCTGTATAGATAGCATGAACTTCATTACCTCTGTCTAATTCCGCACTCAAATCGGACACAAATGATACTAAGTTAGTTTCCACAGATCTTCCTCTAAGAAACCCGTGTTGATGCATAGAAATAGTGTTTCGAATATGATGAGATATAATCGGAGTTACTATGGCTTCAAAAAGTTTTGCAAAACAGTTCAGAATAGATATCGGTCGGTAGTTTTGGACGTCAGTATCATCCCCCTTTTTCAATAAAGGCACTATTCTTGCCTGCTTCCACATTTGCGGGAATATGCCTCCTTGAATTGAGCTTTTAAAAATGATTGCTAGTGGTAAACTTAAAGCAGAACCACACCGTTTAATTACCAAGGGATGAATTCCATCTGGGCCACTACCCTTTGAAATATCTATTTTCTTTATTTGCTTCAAAATATCCATCTCTGTTATTTTTATTCCATTAAGAAAACCATTTGGATATCCATGGAGGGGCATGTGTTCAGACCTATTTGTTTTGGTATAAACAGAAGCAAAATGTGTGGCAAAGAGATTCGCGATGTCCGCACCCGTATCGGCAATCGAGTCTCCCATATGCATATAACTAGGCAGTGAAGATTGACGTTTTCTTTTTTCTTTAACAAATCGCCAGAAAACCTTGGGATTGCGGTTTATATCGGTTTCGATTTGATTTTTATAGGAGGAAAGACATTTTTTGTAAAGCAAACCGCAACGATCACGAAGCAGTTCAAACTCCAGTTTGTCCCGTGGATTTTTTGATAATTTATACCGTTTACGCAATTTGTTTTTCTCAGCAAGTGTCTTTATAAGAGAATTGGAAAACCAAGAAGGAAAGCTGGATTTTCGATATTTGCGTGCTGGCGTATATTTCGATATGGCAGATCCAAGAATAGTGTAAAGAGTAATTACCATATTATCGACATTTTGGCCTTCAAATTCACGTTGCCAACTTATGTCACTTAATTCTGAGGTCATACCATTGAAATCCGACTTGAAGTAGTTATAATCCGAGCGCGGTTTTGGCTGTAAATAAGTCATTTTAGGGAAAGTTAATGTTATTAGTAAGCCAGGGTGATGTGGATCCAGCTTAGACAATAGATCCAGCGGTTTAGTAACATTTGCATTAATCGAACTACACAATACTAGATCTAATATTTTGCTATTAGCATTACATATTTTGTTCATCCGATACAGGTTGTTAGTTGCTAGAAAATCTACAAGTCTTATGTCCAGTGCGGTTGTGTAATTAGATGGCATTGCATAGGGCAAATTGTCGTCGTTAATCCAAAATATAGAGCCTTGATTAAAGTCTCCTACAACAATAACTTCATCAATATGATTGAGCACAATGTCAGTATTGTCGAGGAAACGGCATAAGGTTTCCATTTTGGCTGGAGGAGGGAGATATACAGCACATAAAGCCAGCTTTCGAACAGTACCATCGATTTTTATTTGTAACGAGATCCAAAGATCTTCAGTTTCAGATTCCCACTGCGACATTCGGGTCGAAGCCAGGTCACGAGACACTGCCACCAAAATACCTCCCCCATCCAGCTTGGAATTAGAAGAAAATTGACGATCACGACGATAGATCACATATCGTGAATTAATCAACTCCCCGTCATAGATCTTAGAATGCAACCAAGTCTCAGTAAATACAATTATTTTATACTCATTTTGTAGGATATTATTGCGGATATTGTTTGTTTTCGTTCACATACCTCTAACGTTTTGATAATAGATATCCAAAGAATTGAATGCTACCTAATGAGTTCCACAATTATCATACCTGTGTTTTCCTGGGAAAACAAATTACAATCAAATAATCAGCTTAAGGCTATCAAAATTGCGTACCAACAATGCAGAACAGTGCTCATTTTTCCTAGCATAGATTCTTCCATCGCGAACCCACACAAATTTGTATGCTGCCTCTTTGGCTTTCTTACGCGCGGCAGCATGTAATGACTTATTTGTAGGCGTTAAATGTTCAGCAACATAAATTGATGATACCTCTCCAGAGTAGCCCAGGTGTTGAGTATTCAGTTTATCATGTTGTTTTCTATTTTTGTTAAATTTTTGAACTGCGGCCAGCAGCTCATCACGCTGACGAATACTCCGCAGCTTGACAATTACTGCCCGGGGTCTTTTGCTTTCTTTATTCAGTTTCGCGATTCTTGTAACATGCTGTATATCACTGTCTTGTAGTGGGTTTTCAACTGTATTAGCGATTTGTATAAGAGCTTTTCTTAGATTTTCTGATCGGTGTTCAGGTATTCCGTTTATTTCCACGTTACAATCACGCATGTACTGCTCCACACTTTCGACCCTGCTAGTGATTTCTTTGACTGATAATTGTAGGGTTTGATTTTGCTTTTCCAGATTCTTAATAGCCAAATTCTTTTCTTCCAAGATTTTCCTAAATTCCTCGTATTGCTTATTTAGGAATTCAAGGGAATCATTGTAAGTAGTCATCTGGTCTTTGATTCCTTTTAACTGTTCCGTTACTTGCTGATTGATAACTCGACATATTTCCTGTCGTAGAATATCACGAAGTCGACCCTCTGTGACAAAACCATCCATCGGCAATGAGCTTCCATGACATGATGATGTGGTATTTACAACACTCATATCTTGCACGGCATCCCGAGAAGGGATATTTTCAACTGGTTTTCTTACACGTTTTACACGATTGGTAACATTTTCACATTGATTACTTAGGTCTTCGAGACTGTCTTTTTCATTCATTACTTCATTAAGAGTCCGTATCGGAGTGTTAGAGTTAACATTTTTGGGTAGTTTACAAGTACACTCTGGGCATTTCCAAGTACTTTTTTGACGTATTTCCATTTGTTGATAACGTTTTGAGCTGACATTTCCGCATTCGAGATCATACTTGCATTTACAGGTATCACATGTTAGAAATTCTTTACTTATCAATTTGTTTTTACAACCTGCACAACTTCCTAAGGTTGGTGCCATTCTTGAATTATTTGCCTTAATGAAAATTTTTGCAAGAACAAAATTGGTATTGATTTCTCTGATTCGCGCAAATTTGTTGATTGTGGCAACACTGAGCTTGTATCCGTTTTAATAATTTGTTGAAATCTTGTTGGTAGCAAGATTATGACAAGTAAAAAATATAAAAATTCAACTTAACTTTTAGAATCTGTGAGTTGAAACAGCCAAGATTTTCGTGGATAACAATACTGCAGATTTAATGGTGTCCTCTATAACTTTGTACGCAAAATCACTGCAATTTATGTATTATTTCGCTTATTTTAAAATGAAATAGGTTTATAAGGTTGTGACACAACAAAGCCAGGGTTGCTATTTTCACTAACAGTATTGCAAGATGTCCCGATTTTTTGTAAAAAATTTAAATATGCCGCGCAAGACAGGTAGTCCCGCGTTTCGGGGATTATTTGACGCACTGAGAGAAAGAGTTGTCTACAATTTTTCTGAGTGCGATCCGGGACATAAATAACTTATTTATACCTATTATACCCCCCCGAAGACCTTACCTGCCCTAAAGGCAAACCAAATTTAAAAGTTATTATGTCAAGCTATCCATTATCACTGGAAACTTTATTTTAAACTGTAATAGGAAAAATTACAAATACCATTTTGACAAACATAATAAGTGGAACCATGAACGGTTACCTCCCTTATTTTATTCACACAGTCCCAATTTTCTCCTGTGAAAAGAGTAAATTATATTCCCTGGAGGTGAGATAAAAATTCATATGGAAGAACGAAAATTACGCCACAAGGCGGCAATATTGGATATATTTTTTTTTTCTCTAAGAAAACGTCAATTTTATCTCAACGAAATTAATTCAGGGTAAAGTTATGGTTCTTTTCTAAAAATAGAGCGTACACTACAATATAAGAGTATGCCTACAAAACAGTCAACAGCACTTCACGCTATAAAAATCTGACAAATCCCTCTACTTGGTTATAATTTGTAATACTTTGACAGTAGAGTTCATAATCAAAAATAATTACCTGTCATCATCATCATTATAAGTCCTTTTACGTCCCCACTCCTTCCTTGTGGATGGTTAGAGAGGATGGACTATAACCATCTACGCTGACCCAATGCGAGCTAAAGGGCAGGCGTTAACGATACCGGGACCAAGTCGAGATAATAATATTCTGGTCACCCATCCTGTGACCAACCCTTGTGAAAGTTGCTTAACAATAACGATCGCGGGCCACAGTGCTTATTAACTACGCCACCGAGCTATTCACCTGTATTAAAGTAATAAATCAGTTTAGTTTCAAAAACATTAACAAAAAGCATCTGAGCAAAACTTAAATGCCTTTTGCTAACATTAATTAACGTTGCAGTAATTCCTTCACTTAACATTCTAGATTCGTTCACAATGTCTAATTGCTCACAGCAATTCTTACATCGAGCATCATTAATATTAACACCACGTCGCTTCCTAGGCCAATACGTCAAAATAAATATATCTCATCAATATGTTTGTCAGGAAAATAAAGATAAGGCTCGTTTACATCGGTCGAAAAGTTCTGCCGTATTTCGCATGCTGGTGCTATTTATACTTATATTATAAAAAGCCTAACAATGCAAACACTCAAATAAATATTTAATTGATTTTTTGCATAGTTAGGGTCCAAACACAAATTTTGGACCTGTTTAGTTATAAATCGATTTTATAAATTATTAGCGGACTCGGCGATCTTCGTACCGCTATATTTGATTTCTCCAGTTTTGTCAGTCTTCTGTCACATAACGTCAATTACTTTTTATATTTGACTGAGCTACCCAGGACGAAACAGGACTGACGAATCTTTCAAGCACTTGTAACTTTTTCGCTACTACAGAGCGTATTTTCATAACTTTTTAGGCAATCTACCAAAACAGCCGAAAGAAATATTTAAACTTTCGGCTACGACTTGGGACGGACATGATTTCAAAGTATCTAAATTACAGAGGTGGAGGGGCACAATCAAGTTTTTGCTCCGATTTGTAAAATCGTAGGCTGCCTATAAATGAAGCAGGCAAAATCGCAGGAAAACACTTAGTCTACTATAAAAAAATCTTCTCAAATGCGGGCACTATGGTGCGTGACAGAAATCTTCTGTATCACGCATGGCCCGATCGGCCAATGTAAACAAGCCTTTAGACTTTGCGAATAACAAACCAATTAGTATATGTTTTCTTTACAATCAATAGGCGCTATTTTGTTCACTTCATAATAGATAATGAGATAGATTATATTTTGGTGACATAAAAGGTAGACGCGAATCTTGAATTGTAATGGTACTCATTGAAGACGAATCGTTTATCTAATGAGCGTACAAATTGTATGGTACTCTTATGTTACTAATATACAACGCTTCAGTGTCAAATGGTCTTTGAAATTCATAAGGAAAAGAATACTGTTTGGATAATATTATGCGCAAATTGGCGTTTGAGAAACTCCTTTGTGACTTACTGTACCGAATTGAGAATGCGTGAAAAATTTACAAACGTCGTTTTTAAAAACGTGAAAATGCTCTTGTTTTATTATTAAGATAACACGAAAATGTTAAAATTGTCCGTTGATAATCGTAAATATTGTAAAACAACAGAAAGAAAAGAGATTTCTAAAGGTCACGCTTTAAAATTAACAATACATGATATGCAGTAATATAAATTGAAGGTCTGCTCTATTTCTCACAAAATTAATTTCCTCTATTTTAAAAACGCTAATATAACGCCAAAGAGACAAATTTTTCGATTATTCATTATGCAGTGGACACTGCCTCTGATGTACAGATAATCTTCATGAATATGATGTATGAAAACTTGCTGGATTCCACTATTTCATAACATTAAAACATCGGTTTCGTTAAACTAAACTCTTATTATATAGATTAAAACAAGAGCCAAGTGTGCAATGAATTTTAAAAGCATTTATATATCGATTTTTAATTGCATGACATGTTTTGCGGAATATGTAGACAGTTTATATACATTTTCGTATTTGCTGTGAAAAAAAGTTTGAATAGGAATCGTACTTTGGCAGTTGAAATAAATTGATGTTCTCGCAAATATAAAACATCAAAGTTACAAACTTATATTTATACTTAAACAACTATTTCACAGAGCTAAATAATAGATTATTTATTTATTCATACACTTTATTGCACAACTAAAATATACACAAATTAAAGGACGGCACATTAACATTAGATATGCAATACTTCATCGAAATACTGTATTTTTTTTAAATCACACGAGAAGATTATATCTGTGATTTCCAAATTATCTGGATTCTCTAAACATTGTACAGTACCTGCCACGAAAGTAAATCTAAATGTGAAACATTTGTTTAAATATAAACCACCCGACTTTTATAGTGTCTTTAATATATTAATCCTCTTTAAGATAAGTATTAATTTTCAAGCTTTTATAAAGCATTTTTCAAATATTTTAGTATATGACTAAAGTTTACTTTCGTACCAGGTATAATAAGTTATTTTATATTTCATCTCTACCGTTTAGTTGCACAAACGTCTGTTAAAATTGACATTAGTTTAAAGTGACATTACCGAATAAAATTTTTACATTTGGAACATTTATTTATAAAAGATTGAAGTCGTCTTTTTTAACCTCAAATGTCGTCTGTGCAACTGGGTGTAAATTAATTTCTATAATTATATTCTTGTATCATAAAGAAAAGAATCATAAAGATATATTATATTAGACAACATCATATACATTGCTCAGATTTCAAGATAAATAGCTAAAACACTTGTATTATGGTGAATCTGAGACAACGAAGGGTTCACAACACCCAGACCCGAGACAATATAGAAAAAGTAAATTTTCTACATTGACCCGACCTAGAATCGAACCCTGGACCTCAGAGTTGACGATGTTCATACCGTGCATACCACTCGACTACGGAGGTCGTAAATAAATAACGTTTTCATAGACATATACAGTGTTATTAATAAACAAGGGTTAGCGTTGGAGTAAATTTACGCTGAGACTTCACTTACTATTCGTCAAAATTCACATTATTAAACGGGGACTTAGCAAAGTTTAACCTAGTACGAGGTTCTACGTAAGTATTTACTCCCAGAAGGTTTGCTTATTCTCTGTATAATATGAATTTGGACTAATACCAAAATTGCAATTTTAGCGTAAATTTATTCTGACGCTTAACCTTGTTTATTAAATAGCACTGTAAAAGTTTAGATATGCAGACCATAAGAAAATTTCTTAGTGTAGAATGTAAGCAAAGAGCTTTCTCTTTGCTTACCGATACCTTTGTATCGGTGATAATTCTTTAAAACCAAAATCCTTTATAAGTGTCTTGTCTAAACGGGGGCGTTAGCTAAATATATGTATTTGATAAGAATTCCAAATAAAAAGCAGTGTGTTTCGAATTTTATTCTATATAATGACATAATAAAACAAAATACAAAAGAAAGTTAGTATTAAAAATATAAAAAGTATACAAAAACTATAAAAATGTTTTATTATCGTCGTCGTCGGCAACATTATTCTCGTAATTTAAAAAATTGATCAAAATTTCTAGGATTTTGTCTACCGGACAGATTATACGAAGTCGTTGTAACTGGCTAGATATCGTAAAGAAGTGCTTATCTAAATAACAAATTGTAATATTTTATAGCACGGCAAGCTTAGCGTGTTTCAAATAAGGCTTGTGTTTACACGTCACGAGACCTACATAAAAAGGGAAATTCTAATGGTTTGTTTGTTCAGTACATTTTTATGCAAAGCACGTGGCTTGAATTTTTGTGGAGTGTGCCTACGTTTATATTGTATTAAAGATAAAAAAAAAGTTTACAAACAATAAATAATAACGTGTTTAGGGTGCTTAGTAGCTAAATTGGGTACGTGACATAATAATAGCATATTAATTACAGCACGAGGAGCTCGGTGGCGTAGTGGATAAGCGCCGCGGCCCACGATCGTTGTTGTTAAGCAACTTTCGTAAGGGTCGCTCACGGGATGGGTGACCAAAAAAATATCTAATATATGCAATGTTTTTAAAGGCTCATGAATAGGGAGTAAAGAGGCAACCACCCGTTGTACATATTCATAGACCAATGAGGTCATCCGTATAGACAAGGAATGAAGCCAAATAAATAACACATAGTTGGGTTCGTCAACAACAAATAAAACATGAAATAACAAAATCTATAGGGTCCAAATAAATAAAACTGGAGTTAATGTTTGTAATATTAAAATAACCGCATTTCACTAAATAAATAATTATGTACGCCGATCAGCATCTTTGTCGTCCCGGGTTCGATTCCCGGTCGGTTCAATGTAGAAAATGAACGTTTGTATATTGTACTGGCTGTAGTGGTACCTTCGTTGTCTTACAATTAGATACTAATACGGGGGCTTTAGCTACTCGTCTTGGAATCTGAGAAATGTACGAGACGTTGTTTATATTTTATATTATATCTATAACAGATTTTTTTAAAGACTAGCACTACTGGTCTCCCATGCGTGTCGTTAATCTCTATCACATTTCTTTGTTTTTCAAACTTTCGAATCTCATAGTTCATAGAAGAACACGTAAAATATTTATAGCCTTAACGTTCCTATTTAAAAGATTCATAAATATTCAGAAATCTACATTAATGAAATTGCAAGCATTTATGTCGAAATCATTATAAAGATTTACCTACAGCAATCGTTGCCATTCAAGCGGAGTGCGCTAGCAATGTATGCTACCTCTTTGGTGCATACTAATAGGTAATACTATTATGCACAACCTTATTGCCACGTAATAAGATCTAGTTTTACAATATTACGATACAAGTTTCTGGAGAAAGGACGATGCTATCTTTAGTTGGAAGGCCCTTAATTAGAGGAAGTAACGTAAGTAACGCGTATGTTGACATATAAATAGAAAGTGTATTTTGTTTCAAATTAAAATAACATTTTGTCCTGTTTTCTATCGCATGAAATTTCTCTTCGACTATTCTCTTCATTATCGTCGATTCAATTATTTCACAGAAAGCCTCAAGAAGGAGCCTATCACACTTATTTCAAATTAAAATTGAACTAAAATATAAAGCCTAATTAATTTGTGATTTATTATGAATCAACGTTGTTTTCTTAAATAGCAAAACATAGTGATATGGTGATAGTGATCTTAAAATGTTAAATATGTCTATTTTTTTCTATGTGCTGTGGAGAATCTCTTCATTTTAATTGTCTTTTTTTATGGTATAGAGGGTCAGACGAGCAGACGGATCACCTGATGGTAAGTGATTACCGTCGCCCATGGACACCTGCAACACCAGAGGGGCTACAAGTGCGCTGCCGGCCTTGGAGGGAAGGGTTGAGGGGTAGAGGGAAGGAAATAGGGAGGGGTTGGCCCTCCGGTACCCTCACTCACACGACGAAACACAACGCAAGCGTTGCTTCACGTCGGTTTTCTGTGAGGCCGTGGTATCACTCCAGCCCATTCATGCCGAAGCGTGGCTCTCCCACGGTAGGTCTTTTACACTTGTGTCTTTAGTAGAGTAGATATAATTACTTGAGTAAAAGTAATTACCTTATACATATCTCTATTTCATTGCCGGGCTCAATAAGGTGGACAGGAGCAGTCTCTTGGCTTTACACCAGCTATGAGCGATATATCAATTATATTTTGGTAGTTAATTATATGTTTTGTTTTGAGTATTTACTGGGTGGCTTACTTTATCGGACGCCAAGAAACTTACCAAAGGAATCGCCCTTACAAGAATACTAATATAAAGGGAAGTCCGGGCCCGGTTATGACGAGGGTAGTGGGGACCAAAAGTGACATTTCATTTAAGAAAAATATGAAAGTCGGTCGACTAAATGATAGAAAAAATCGGTTCAAATATTTTGAAATTGTTTAGAAATAAGGTTG